CGTCAAGAAATAATTGGAAACTGTTATTTGAAGTAAATTTTAGTAAGAATTCTACTAAAACAATTAGATTGTTCGCTCTCGATTTCTATGTGGTGGTAGTGGATTCCGCCTTCGGCCTCATCAACTATCACCTCATAAAAATCTCGAGCTGAGCTCATGATCTAATTGTTACATGTGTAGTTAAAAACTGTCAAGTTGTCCAGCTAAGACGACTTGACAGACCCTTGAGATTTCTAATCATATCCATTTACACAAGTTTCAGATTATCTTTGGATTGTGTCCTTCAGTAGGTCAGTAGCTCGGAAAAATGTTTCGAAATTCTTGACTCGGCTTCCACTAACTTCCTCTGAAAAATCAATGAAGCCATGCACTTCCTTTTAGAGCAGCTTACGTTTAAATTCTCAAGTTTAACATCTTTAATAATTTGTCCCTTTGTGCAATTTTAGTGTAATAGTTTCACTTTTTTCTGTTTCGCTTGTTAATCCTATTAAAATTATTCTTATTTTCATCTATTTATTGCTAATTTCAATTGGTATTCTTCTACAACTGACGTTTCATCCGAAATAAGTTTTGTTAATAATTTTCAGATGTGAATTTCAAACATATCGTGTGGTTTTTGAAAGCATTTTCAAAATAACAATACAAAAGTTCAAATCAGTGAGGCCTGAAACTACAGACGAAGTCTAAATAAGTATTTATCAATGTTCACCGAGCCTGAGGCGAACAATTTTAATTTAGATTTTAGCACTTCAAAATAGCGGCAGTCTTGACCTCTTGAGTGCCTATACGACATACTCAATACGTCCTGATTTTGTCCCTCAGGTGCCTAAGGTTGTTTACCATTTGCCCAAAAATTTAGGAAATTTCAGTCAGAATGTTAATGGTAAGACAATTTTGCCTCAACCGACCGGAAAATTTCCTAAATAATCGGAACGTCTTGAAAAGTAATACAAAATTTCGAACTCCAATATGCGAATTTGCAATTCTTCACCAGTCAATTTAAAGAGTTTCTCAAGTCGTCTTAGTTGGACGACTTGGTCAGGTTGTCTTAGTGGCAAAATAATAAAACCTTGAACAACAAGACATCAATTTATTAAAACTACGGCCGCATACATACATATACGTGCAGGCAAACGTACTATTGTGTATACGCTGTGTGTCACATCATTTTCACTGGAAATGGGCGTCTAGTTAAAAACTTCAACTGCCATGAGCATTTTCACACAAACTATAGACATTTTTAGAAAGGTCATAAAAAAAATTATCTTCAATGCGGTTAATTTCGCTGAGGTTGACGTAATTTCATATTCATATGAGGCTACAGCAATGGGAAATTAGCAGTGTAAAGAAAAACCTCCT